AGCACTTGATGTCTCTATGCAGAAAGTTCTTCTTGTGGCAATAATCCAGTCCCTCCAGCAACTGTCGCATGAAAGACTTTATGTGGCTCTCGTTGAAATGGACCAGGCCAGACTCAAGCAAACCCATCAGGTCGTGGTCCATGTATTCAAATACAAGATAGAAAGCACCTGAGGCGAGAGAATAAAGATTTTACTCATTAAACAAATCAACGTTGTGTGGTAGGACCATGAAGCCACTACGATGAGAAAAAAAACAACGTACCTTTATCATTCTTGAAATCGAGAGCATCTTCCTTGTCTGTGACAATCTCCTTCATGTTTATGATGCTCTTGTGGTTGAGTTGTCGCAAAATCTTAATCTCTCTAATGGCCGTGATTGGGAAGCCCTCCTTTTCATTGTCCAGCCGAACCTTCTTTAAAGCCACCATTTCAGCTATGAAACAGAAGGAAGAACAGAGTGTCAGGACCACTTCACGAGTTGTATTTTTAACAGAACTTTAGAGATAAGAGATTATCATCACCACCATCCTTTATTTCACCTCTGGAAAATGTTAATGAGGATAATGGACGGGTGAAGTTGAACGAATGTGCATCTTCAAAACACTCACCGGTGTCTTTATCTTTAGCTTTGTACACCTGACCATAAGTGCCTTCTCCTGTGATTCCAATGATCTCGAACTTGTCCACACAGCGTTTGCCCCAGTCTATCTCAGTTTCCTTAATCTCACCATATCTTGGGCCACAAATTCTGGAAATTACAAAAAAAACAAAACAACAACATTTCAGTGGAAGCAAAGTGAATATATGTAGTATAGCAAACAATAGCAGAAAACAACATCTATATGGCTCTAAGAGTACGGTAACATACTTAGGTCTTCGGCGAAGTGTTTGGGACTTTTTATCCTCAGGCGGGCTGTGCGGAGAAGACGTGCCACCGGTAAGTTCGGGGGGCAGAGGCAAGTCAGAAAGAAGCTGACGGGCCTTTCTCTCTGACTTTTTCTTCCCTGAGAGCGAGCTGTCCTTCAAGCTGAAGATGTAGGAGACAAAGAGACAGAGAGTGTGAGTGAGCCTTGACAGTCAAGTATAAAAGGTGCATAAAAATTGTATGTCAGTTGTCATAACAACACACCCATACCTTTCTCCTTTATCCATGTGCTCAAGAACAGTTTGGGGCAATGGTAGGGATGATAGAGTTGAGATGAGTGGACCAGTGGCTCGTTCCTTCTCTTTGCTCGTTCCAGATACTGGTGCTTTCCTTTTATCCCGATGTACAGAGTCATCTTTCCCCTTTCCATCTCTGTCCCTGCTAGTCTGGTGGTCAGTGGTCCTCTTGGACTTGTCAGAAGGAGACTGAGGCTGGCTCGATGTGGGAGTCCTGGGACCCTTCTCCGGTTGTGGTGGAGAGGGAGGGCGGCCCTTTCTGGATGAGTGATTGGATTTGGGGCTGGGCTGGGGGGCAGATGAGGAACCCTTGGTTGGAGTAGATGTGTTGCTGGAGTTCTTGGCCTTGGCAGCTGCTTCTGCAGCTTTCACCTTTTTCTGCTTACTGAGTTCAGCAGCAAGACTGGTTTTGAAGGTGAGCGTGCTCGGTGAGAGGCTAGAGGGGCGGCTGCGGGAGCGAGAGTGGCGGTGACGGCTGCGAGAACGTGAATGCCTTGAGGAGGAATATGGACTTCTGCTACGTGACCTAGCAGATCGCCTGGAAAGAAAATGACAAGAACACTGTTTCAGATTTTGTTTTAAACTTCATGTATGGTTTTATTGTCTTGTATGAAAAACAAAATCTAAATATGAAGAATGCTGGGTCACGACTACAAACACGGAAAGCGTGCTACTACATGCATCTTACAAATTCTACAATGTCACTTGCAGTACTTCTTTTCTCACTTAATAGAAAGTTTGGTCAAAAACTTTTGCAAAAGGTACAAGAATGCCAGCAAATATCGAAAGAAGTAATAATAAATGTTACAACTTTGTCCTTGTTTTCGTTGCTCGATTCTTTCAAAAGCTACTATCGACATTGTAGAGAGAACCGTTTTCATTGAATTTAGTAGTTAGGTTTGTCTTTGTACGTCATCAAATTACACAATTACACTACGGCTGACAAATTAAAAACCCACATCTTCCTATTAGCTGCTTTATAGCTCACCTGACATCTGGACTTGGACTCAGGGACTTTCTGTATGGACTCCGTGATCTCCTGCGGTTTCCATAGGGACTTGAACCAAACTCTCCCTGTTCATACGGACTGTGTCGGCCAAAACTCGGGGACCTGCGCCAGTTCGCTGGGCTCGCGGGGGATCGCTTCCTTTTGTTGCTGGAGTATGAACTGGGTGACTTCGGCATACCATAAGCCCCATACGAGTCTCCATCCCGGTTGTAATATGTGGAACTGGGAGAGAGTCTTTTGCTCCCATAAGTCGGACTTCTTCTAGATATTAGCTGGTTATAACCACCAGGAAACTGGTAGCTATATGAATATGATGTCCCATAGGGACTTTCGGCTTTGAAACCAGGACTTCTCCTGTATGGCCTGAGGTCTTCGCGGTCATCTCTGTATGCAGACGGGGGCTCTTTATCAGATCTTGTTTTACTCCTGTGTCTTTTTGAATCCCTTTTATCTGCAGATTGTGAGGGCTGAGACGTAGACGTCCTTTTACCATTCCTGTCATTGCTCCTTGTAGTGTCTCTGTGATTTTTAGAGCCACTTAGGCTACCTCCACTTCTAACTTTTGAGGAGTCTCTCTCACGGCTCTGGCGCTCCTTTTTCCTGGCAAGCTCCTTCTCCTGCTTGCTCCTCTCAGATGGTCCTCTTGTTTGTTCTTCCTTGCCAATGCATACTGCCTCCCGGTCTCTCGGGTGACTTCTGTCTGGGGATGCTGGTCCATTATCATCATAGTCAACATCGCTGAGTCGGTCTACTGAGAGTCTATCGGCATGGGGGTCAAGTTTAGGAGAGGGGCTCCCCGAAAATCGCTCTGACTGGGAGCTCACATCATCATACTCTACCAATGTCCTAAGTTCAGCCTCTTTTTCAAAAGTGCTTTTCCGGTCGTTGTCAGGGTCCCCTGTTGTACCGGCTGGCCACAAGTCTTTATCCCGGGCCTGCCGGCGTTTCTTTCTCCTAGAAACCGACGACCGCCTCTTCTCACGGTGCCTGTCTCGCTGAGCAGCACCGCTCCCTGGTTTACTACGCCTGTCTTGCCTGTTAGCATTTCTCTGTGCAGAGGGGCTCCGTCCCCGACCCTCACGAAGCACCTCCGAATTAGGCATTTATCCACAATACAAACGCTACAGCCACGTCGAGAATAATCTTTATATTATATACTTTTACCTAAGCTATGTTCCTTGCTGTGCCGCGGAACAAAACATTGGGCTAGCTGTGCACAATTAAGACAGCCAGCCAGCTAGCTAGCTAAAAATCACAAGCTTAACGTTAGCATTACAAAACTAGCCAGCTTGAGGTTGAGCTGCCCCTCAGACGATAATTCATCACACCTGGCGCCTGTAGACTCCTTTAAATACAATCCACAACACGGTGTTTCGTTAATAGAGCCAGTCGGTACTCAACCATTGTACTCCAGGACGGACATCTCCCAGATTTTGCCAGCTAATGATCGCGTTTAGCCAGCTAGCCTCCGAAGCAGCTAACCGCGTCCACTCGGTTTCATGGTCAAAGCACAAAAAAAGGCCCGAAGCGCCTCGAAATCTAAAAAAAACCCCACACTTCTTCTGAAACTTCTGGAAGAAAAAAAAAAAAGCACGGAACTCCATTAACCGGATAGCGTTGAAGAGCAAGTGAACCAACTCCGTCTCCCTCTCAGGAACTTCTTCTCGTCCTCCATCTCATCTCCAGCGAGCAACGAGGAAGTGGAGAACACGCGAGTTGGCCGGATAGCCGCCAGCCAGCTAAAGCACGTTAGCCAGCTAGCTTTCTTTCTCTCCTGGCGGAGTCCAATGCAACTCCAAGTGAAGATGCAATAAAACAATGCTACTCCAAAAAAAAAAAAAAAAAAAAAAAACCCCAAAAACAACACAAACACACGTCTGCTTCCTCGTATCCCGCCGGGTGGTCGCTCCCCTCTCACCACCGCATGGTAGCAAACACCGGTGGGTTGGTGGGTTGGTGGTGGGGAGAGGGGGGTAAAAAAAAAAAAAAAAAAAAACAAGCTCAACAATTCCTTGAATTTATTTCAAAATATTGTAACTTTGTTCGCAATGTGGCTACTCGCCTGGGCCGCAGACAGCTTTCAAACTACAGGGCCTTGTGCGTCGGTGTGGACCAATGGTACCCGTATGCGTAATCCAGCTCAGCGGTTACGTCACCGCCGAGGGAAACCCCTGCCTTCAAAATATAACACAAAATAAACATGATAAAAATAAATAAAAAAAAAATAAACGAGGGTATGAGAACATATTGGATATAGTCACAGAACATGTGTGGGACCGTTGTAGGTTTTATCCGTACTCCACAAACTATTACTAGTGTTATGTAAAATACTGAGTATATTCACCCGCCGCTCCACTTTTTCTTGTTTTTTAAAACCCAGTATCTCACATTATCTTTAAAAAAATGTTGATACTAAATGTGTGTGCATGTTGTCAATTATACACTGATTTGACTTCGCTACCAGCTGTCTTAATTTGTTCGGTGAATGCTATTTTTAACACTCAAGTTCCACCGTAAAGAGCACACATCCACTTCTGTACTGTGGTAAATCAATACGTCCCCCTTTTCTTCCTGCATGACATTGGCATTAGGAAGACCTTATATCAGTGTGACACACTATAGTGCAACAGGAACAATTTACTGCAGTTAAATTGTGCCTTAAAACTGCATACAAACATGTCAAATGTGACGTAAAGTGACAATAAAACTAAATTAATAAAATGAAAATATATTACAGCTGCTCAGATAGTGTCACTAATGTGAGTCTCCTCATTCTAACAATCCGGGACACGCGTCTTCACACAAATAATATCAGGATACGTTTGGAAAATTATTATTAGTAATATCCACTTTTATTTGCCATTTCCAAATAACTCACAAAAAATGAATTGAAATGTAAGCTTCACCTCTTGCATTCACAAACAGATAGGCTACATTAGTGGTTATGTTCAAAATAAGTAAACATGAAGGAAACATTTAATTGATGGCATACATACACAACCATCCAATCAAAGACATAGATACCTTTTCTTTTCTTTTAATTCCAAGGGTATTTATATAAAAAGGCAAAACAAGTTATTTTAATACCCAGTAGGACAGTTCGCTCATAGCTTTCACACAAATATCGGTTTTTAGTATCACCCCTTAAACCCTGCTGAAAATATTTGGGCCATCAAGTCTATTAAAACAATACATGGACACAAAGAAAAGAAGTAGAAGTATTATGATTAATGCTTGCTTCTGAAAAAAAAGCACTAAAAAAGAAGAATTAGACTGTGTTAAGCCAATGTTAAGAGTAAGCAAGCACTACGGTGGTCACTTTAAGAATATTAGCTTCTGCAATCCTCAACGATGAACACACAGCACTTAATGTAATGGCTACAAGCTAAGGAAGGTACGCCGTCACAGGCTGGGATTCTTACACTACATGTCAGTTTCTGCCCGTCGCTTTTTACCTTTCAGGGGTGTTTCAATCATGGTGTGGTGTACTGGAGGTTAGCCCTTAAAAACATATTAACCCAAACTACATTTCCAAACATTCTGATGCCACGGTGTCCTAACATTTTGGGTTCAAAGTTCACCTCGCATATCCCATCCCACCCTCCCATCTTTAAAACTCTCATTACTGTGTGCTTTTCAGTTAACGAGTAATACCACGGACATTCTTTTGCATTTCTGCCAATGGACACATTGAACTACATGACAAACAAATCTCCGTAATCAAAGCCAGTGATTACTTAGTGTTCATGTATTAACTCAGGGAGTAAACGAGACAACATAAAGTATCTTGAAAAATAAAATGGTTTAAATTCTTTGAATGATTTTGGGTTTTTTTTTTTTTCTGAGCTGTGGTCAGATATCTTATAACAGCATTCGCTTCCTCGTTGCAATTACATAATTGTTTGCATAGACTCCAGTGTCGGCCATCCTATTGGTTGAGGAAGTCCTTTAATGGTGCACATTCACTCCTCTGTTAATTACTTAAAGTGGATCGGAGTGAAATGTGGCGACAACCTCTGGATGGTGGTCAGACTTTAAAAACAACTGAAAATCATAAAAAATAAATTACTTTAAATAAGTTAGTAGTGGCTCAGTCAGAAAAAGGGGTAACTAAGAGAATGGAGGGGCAGATTTCACAGTGTGTTTTGGTCTATAATCACGTATAGCGTTCTCATTTTGCCAATTTTTGTTTTTACACTGCTTCAATCTTCACCCGCCAGTAAAAAGTATAACTACTAGATCAAATGAACAATTAATTAAGATGTTACAACACCTTAATGCAAAGGGTAGGGGAACAAAGCAGAATGACAATGTCCTCTAAACTCTGCACATCATTGGCAGCCTACGATTACAGGCAAACAGGATGGGTTGGGTTGGGTTGGGTTGGGTTGGGGGGGTATTCACATTCACAATGGACAGAGGCAACAGTGATGCACTGTACATGAATTAACCTTACATTTTTCTTTCCCAGGCCATTCAGAATGATATTTTCCCATTCAACATTTGCCACCACCAGGAACACTGCAGTGCTTACTTTTGATGCTCACAACAACAAGTTCCATTAATAAGTGGGCACTTGTTTGTACTAGCTAGCGTTTTTTCTTTGGAGACTGAGAGCAACCTTTTTGGACAGGTACCACCATACTTCTATCAAGCCTGCATTCATTTCTTTTAAATATTTTATCTTAAAAACAAAATTCTCTCTATCCATTAATGTATTCCCACTTAAATCCCTATTACGAAATACGTTTTTTAAGTAAAAACAAAACAGAGGAATACAAGGTTGGTGATTAAAAGTCTGAGCCAGGAAAAGTAAAATTGGCAAAAAGAAATCTTTACATGACTGGAAGCGATTTATTTTATCAACTTGAAGATGTGTTCAAGACAGCATGTAAAGGATGTAGTGTTATGGAATCACCTTTTATCAGAGCACCAGGGATTCCTGTTTCGCAAAAAAAAAAAAAAAAAAAAAAGGCAATGAAACTCATTTAGCCGTGTGAGGTAAAACTTCTGAAATGTTGAGATTTGAAAAAAGTTCAAGTGTTGTAAAATCCCTCACAGGTTTAAGGGTAATGATCAATGTTGTTTGTGCATTTGAGAAGACTCAACAAAGTGACGCGAAGGGGAAAGAAAACGGGAAACGTTAGTGCGCTTATCTTATACTCGTTGATATGATAGGAGGAGAAGAGAGAAACGTTTGACTTCACAGATAAAAAGAAGTGTTCAGAACCATACAACGTAGTAAAACTGAGGCGTAAAACGACAAATAGGAATGGCATCAAATTTCCGGCTGTGGCTAAGTTAACGCGACAATCTCTCAATTAAAATGCTTCATAGATTCACCAGTGCAATGTACATTTCCTTGGTGGCACTTGATGAATTCTGCGTTGACACTACACTGCTGACACTACACTTCAACATTTCCTACCCAAGCTCCAGTTACATCTTCCCCGTTTAAACCTTGGCTCTGACACCTTCATTTCTAGCGCTTTGAACTGCACAGTTGTCTGAATATATTATACACATCAAACTTTACAATGAAAGAGTTTTGTAACATTTCAAGGCTCAGCCTCTGTCAAGCTTAGGCCTAAATTAAAAACACCATCCATTTATTACACTCTGTAACGTGGACAGAGAGAGAGAGAGACAGACAGAGAGAGAGAGAGAGAGAGAGAGAGAGAGAGAACATAAATTATTTGGAGTGTCAGCACATAAAAAGTTAGAGCTATAAATGGTGTATGGAGTGCCACCTTACTACTCCCTGACACACGGTCAGATGTCCTGTTAGCCAGGAACAGAAAGTCATGGTCAGGTATGGGCACAAAATAAATGCAAAAGTCTGAGAAATGTATATGTACATAAGCAGCTACCCTGCTGTCTTTTACCACTATAAAATACAGCATCTCTCTCTAATTCTCTTGGCCAAACTTTTACTTTTCTTCTTCCCATTCTTCTCTTTGCTGTCCTCCATTTTCCTTGCCCGGATCTCTCTCATCAGGTCAAAGAACACCTGTAAAAGCACAACAAAAAAAAGTGTCTCAACAACGTAAGCCTTTTCCAGAGATGCTTGTCCTTAGCTAGTCAAATTTACCTTGTCAACGTTGGCACGGGTTTTGGCCGAAGTCTCCACGTAGCACACGCCCCACTGCTCAGCGCGTGCCTTCGCCTCGTCTGCGCTGACCTGCCGTCGGTCGTCCAAGTCTGACTTGTTACCGACCAAGAGAAAGGGCACGTTCTCATCCTCCTTCACTCGCAGGATCTGCTCCCTGTGGAACAGGAAATGTCAGTCAGCCATGAATTATGTAAACAGACTACTGCTTGCTAAAGTTGCCCTAAGTGTAATGTAAATGAGGTGAAATTGTAGAAAATGCATTTGCATGTAATGATGTTCCGACATGCCAAAAGAGCGTACGTTGTTTGTTTATTTCAGCAGGGGGAAAATACCTAATGGCCACAGTCATTAAATGCTAATAGATGGGGAAACTCATTGAAATGCTACTGGACCTGAAGTCTACTGTTGCTGCAAATGATTCCAGTTCTGTGATGGAAAACACACAGAGGAAACCCTCGCCACTGCGGAAGTAGTTATCCCGTATGGCTGCGTAGTCCTCTTGTCCAGCTGTGTCAAGGATGTCGATCTGTACCTCCTCGCCGTCCAGCACCACTTTCTTCCTGTAACTGTCCGCCTTGGTGGGCTCGTAGTCTTCAACAAACTACGAGGAAAGAAAAACAAAGCTTTGTGTTAACCACTTCCCTCAACTCGGTCGCCCATCATGCCAACAAAGAGAAACTTTTCCTACCTCGACAACTTGTGTGAATTTTTACTTGACTGCTGTGATGCGAGTTGCTCACCTCATCATACATGAACTGGAGAGTGAGGGCTGATTTCCCCACTCCTCCACTGCCCACCATAATCACTTTGTGAAGGGCGAGAGAGTTCTGCCCTTTTGGCTTAGCAGCTGCCATGGCTCTGTCTACCGGGAGATCCGAGAGTAAAAAAAGGGAGGAAGTTCGACGTGGAGGTGGAGGGAAGTGAAATGAAGACCACAAAAAGCACTCAGAGGGTTCCAGCTGCAACAAAAGGCCTGGATGATAATTCCTGGGGAGAAAATGAGAGAAAAGAGAAAAGAAATCCTAAAATGTTTCATCATCAGATTGCGGCGCCATCACTGTGTCTTCTAGCAATAAAATGAAATCAGGAGAAACTGCCATTAAACTACAAATGCAGTGCAGAGGGATTAGTCTCTGTACCTTGTTAAAACTACAGCAATATAAAACGAGGTAATGACCACTGGCACTAGATTGATGCATTAGAAAGTGCTTTATAATCAGTATTTTTCATTATCACTCCTCCTTGCCGTTAAATGACCAAAAAAAAAGGTATAGTGAACGATTCCTTTTACTTTTTTCCCCCCTTTGCAATGACAAAAAAAGTCCTAGCAATAGTAAAAGCGTTTCCCCATACAACATGTAAAAACGATCCACACAAATACACTATTTTGAACTTACAATTATAATCTTCCTTTCAGACATCTGCACGAATATGAGAATAAAGTTGCGTTCATCATCAATCAGCAAAATGCCAAATCAGGAGCTGCCTTGTGAATGCAATGCTTCTTTTTTTTTTTGGCACCCACCTTTCACACACTGAATGTTAAACACATTTGCAGCCTGTGGGGGGAAATACTGTTTGTGACAAGATCGATGACATACAGGTAAGCAAAAGTACATCATGAAAGACATTAGGCAAATCCCACTAAAAAAAAAAAAAAAAAAAATGAACCTGTGGAAGCAATTTCAGCAAAGAAATATAACTTTTTAAAAGCTTCTGGGTAACATCTGGCAGTATTTTCCAAACTCTGACAGGAGTGGATAAATTCTGACACACGCCAAAGCGCTTTAGTGATCAGTTCCTCATACTAGACAGTCCGAGAAGACTATGGGAATACCATGATGTCCTGAAGTGTGTGTTAATGCTCTTTCCTATCCCAGGCCCTCACAGACCTCTGGGGGATGAGGGATACAGATGGGAATGCAGCCAATGGGTCATTATACAAATGAACAGAAAGGGTCCATGCACTGATGGTCAATACTACGATTTACTACTGACGTAAAAAAAAAAAAAAAATCTCCTTTTACCTCAACCACTTAAACCCCCATAGTAAGGGAATAAATCTCTTAACAAAGAGTCCTGAGGAGAGATTATCTTCATACCCTCATGTAACATTTTAAGTAGCGTTAGGCATGTTCAATTCCCACCCCAATGTAGCAAGAAAAGGAAACAGAAACACAAATACAAGTATCAAAAAAGGTTGAAACGATGACCTCAAAACTGGCTGCAACTGTATTTAGACGTATTTATCTGTACATCATGAAACTGCCCCCTCAATAACATTAATAACACTGACACGACGAGGATAAAACAGCGGAGCAAAGCGTCAATTTCACCCCGTTACTAAAACAACCCACGACTGAAACCGCACATGACGACGCACAATACTCTAATAATAACATTAACTTATCAGCAAGTGAGCTACCGACATGTCAGCTGCAGGTAAGCCAGCTAGCAGGGTCGACAACCAGTGGGCGACGTGGCTAACGAGCTAACTAACCTGTCGAGCAGGTTAACATCACCTGGCCGTCAATTAACGATAACATTTGAGGAAGTTCAACATGAAGGTTAGAGGCTCGGATAAAATCTTTAAAATCGGATACCCAGCAACAGATGTTCGGTCGATCCTTGGTAAACTCAGCAGCTTTTCCTCGCTAGCCAAGCTAAAGGAAAAAAGAAAGGAGGGCTAGCCAGCGATAACGAGCAGCTAATCACAACTAAATGATGCAGCGTAAGAGAGCTAGCGTGGCACGGCAGACAACACACAGCTACATCGGCCGTATTTGTGGCAATTAACATCACCCTACCGGTAAACGAGTGAGGGTTCCCCCTTGACGTTTCACGAAGGTTGAGCTGTGGTGGCAAAGATGGGGAGAGTCAGCGTTAGCTACTTGTTAGCTCATGGCTAGCTCCCGAGCTAACTCCAGAGACTTGGCTGGTGGCTGTTAGCGGCGGACTGACTGCACGTCCTCTGGGCTCGGCTCCGTCTGACAACGCCCGCCTGCCCGCCTGCCCGCCTGGGAGAACCACACTCTGTTTCACTTTTCATGTGAACGCAACGTTAATTTATCACACATGACAAACAAAGAAAACATGCAGCTATGAGGGGTTTTATAATATATATATAATAAGTTATTTTTGGTTATTTTCTCCCTTGTTGCGCATAAAATACAGGTTAAGGGCGGTGTGGTTGAACATGGCAGGTAATTGATTAATTGGCTAATCCGCATAAATGTTTGCACGTTTGTTCAGGAGGGGAAACTCAAGTCAGCAAGAGTGACAGATTTTTAAAAGCCAGGTAATGTTGGTTTAAATTATTTTATTTTTAATAAACGACTGAATGCATACATCATAAATAAATCCCCCAAAATAAGTAACTGTTTGTCTAATGCGAAGATGTAAATAATGTCTTAAAATGGTAGGCAATGCAGTTAAATTTTTATGTATTATATTTTTAATATTTGACATTGTTTAATGGGCTGTTTCTCTTCTTTTTTTAAAGCTTAAATTATGAAGTCCATAATCTCTGACCTGCATTTGAAATTTGCAGAGAAGACATGGAATGAGACATTTCAGCTTGTCCGAAGATGCATGGTAAGACCAATTCCAGTAACCACCACCTCTGGTTATCTTCTTGCATACATGCAGTTTTTTTTTTTTATCAGCATGTTAATTTTTTTACTCACTTTTTTAAATAGCACAGTGAATCACACAACATTCCCATTGGCAGGGTTGTTTGAAATATATGCAGCTTACTAGTTATACGCAGAGAAAATGTGATGACTGCTTAAATATAAGTCATTACACTCGTCACTGGATGGTGATGATCCTCTAATATGATGATGTGCTGCAAGTCAGGAACTGGTGTGGTGATGCACTGAGAATGAGATCATCTATCCTGGAACACACACGTCTTTGTTGGCGGATCAGCAGTCTGTGCATTGATGGTGACTTGGATTCACTTCACTTCAAGTTGCTTGATTGTTTTTTTTTGTTGTTGTTGTTGCCTTATGGCCTTGGCTTTCTTTCTAGTATGTTTAATACTATCCTGTTTGCCAAGCCAATCACAATCCGTTGGCCTCAGTTATTTGCTTTTGCAATATTTACCCTCTTATATCTTTTTTATGTTCAGTTCTTTGTAAGATGTTCCACTTGCAGATGTGTATCATTTGTCTGGGTGGCTTTATACATTCTGAAGGGTGCCAAGTGTTCTTAAGTGTATTTAACACTGCTATACTAACTTGTATGCTGAAGCTATGAGAGGGTGTGTTCGTTTTCTTTAGGTTTATCATGGGTGGACCAGAAGGGTAGATAATACTTTTGGATTAATACAAAGTGGAGCTTGGCAGTGGTCAGTCTCTGGAGTCTGGTTAAAAAAAAACTTGATTACTTGGTGGTCTGAAGTGATGTGTGGTCCAAAGGGATAAGACAGCTGGGGCTAGTCATGCAGTTTCCTGCCAGCAGTGACACTGAGAAGGACTTTTGTATGACTAGACTTCTCAAAGAAGAAGTAATGTGAGCAATGCACAATGTATATTTTCACACACTCTCAGGTGCAGCAATGACGCAGCCCGCAGTGTTAAACATACAAACGTCAACGCTTCCCTGTACCAAAAGTGTCGTGCAGTTTGTGTGTTGCGGGATGGGCCGGGAGGACCAAGGACTGTTTACACAAGGATGACATTGCCACACAACGGGTTCATTGTTGTGTTTTGTTTTTTCTTCCCTTTGTCCCCCAATAGGACAAATCCAGAGATAAATCCAAACCCTGTGAGCCGCTGGTTAGATCCCTGGAAAGGCTCCAGGAAGTGTTTAATGGTAAACAGAGAGAGTGCGAATGATTCTTGATGTATTTTAGTGTTTGAGTTCACCTGTGAATAAGGCGTTCTGTATTTCAGTGTCCTCTATGAATACCATGAAGTCTCGTCTGGAAATGATTGCCAAACAACAAGGGTAGAGAGCTTTTCTTTCCCTGTCTGATGTGATATATGCTTTAATCTCTTTTGTAATATAATACAGTGGTACAATATACTATCCTCCCTAGAATGGGTTTTCACATTACTGAGGCCACATGCTACCTGACAGCCGACTTGTTCTACCTGGAGGTGGTGTTGTTGCCATGTGGCGGGGTGGAGGACGTTAAAGTGGCCCCACACGGAGGATCTCCTGTTGTAAGTGGACGGCGCTGTTCACATTATTCCCCTTTACTGTGCGTGATAATAAAATGAAATTGTCTTGCAGCCCAGCGAGTCCCTTCTTCAGCTGCTGAGGTAAGCGTTAGCACGATGGTACATTTTAAAATGTGCTTTCAACCGGCGGCACTGTTATCCCGTAAACTACAGCGATAAAGATGACAGTGCTATTTAAATTATTTCCTTAAGAGAAACTGTTTTTAGATGCTGATTGGGCTGTTTTCGGGGGTGGTTTGTTTTTTGGCACAGGTCAAAAGACTTTGCTGAGTTCTCCATGAAGTTGGCAGGCGTCTTCACCCAGTACAACATCCCTGGAGACAAGTGCCTACTTTGAAATATTCTTTTTAATCTTCAAAATGTTGGGCCTCTTGCAGTCATTTAGCTCATATCTTTTTCTTTTCTTTTCTTTTTTTTAAAGTGAAATCCAATTAAAATTGTTTGCATCTCTACAATGTCTCGGGAACGACTTACAGCAAATGTCACGTTTGCCAAAGTAAGTGACATGAAAACAAGAATGCCAAAAACCTGTGACAATTAGTCTGCGTCGAAGAAAATTTAATTGGCATTGATTGTTTCAGTCATTTTTCAAACAAGAATGCCAAATATTTGCTGACTGTACTTTGAGCTCTGTGATGTTGTGATGGGCATTTGTCAATACTTTTTGATGTTTCATGAATTAAATGATTAAAAAAATATATTAATCATAATGAAAATAAGAGTCTCTTGCAGCCCTAATACAAATGGAATCAGTAGTTTTTCTGCTTTCAGCGTCCCAAAGGAGTCTGACCCCCAAGTGGACATGATCAACAATGGCAGGATTGGGTATCTGAAAGCTGGAAAAGAAGGTATGTAACACCAAGTAGCCAAAACACAAGTTATGTATGTATATTTTCTTCGGTTGATTGTTAATCTATCCTTCCAGATTGCCCCCTGATTATCCAGTTCTATATCAGCCCTACTGATGAAATGAAGACATCGGATTTATGTAAGATGTCAAAGCTGGCAAACAGATTCACATTTGGCCTGTAAACATAAACGGTTTTGTTAAATGCTTGGATGCATGAGGCACATTCCCAAAAAGTCTTTAAAGGGCCTTTAAAGTTTTTCCAACAGTTGAATGTTTGAGCTGTGCCGAGTGATGTATGTGCAGAATTTGACACTAAAAGGATGTTTTCACATTCATCTGCTGAGAGGAAAGTTTCTCTGTGCTCACTGAAGATGTGATTATTATTTTTTTTTTTTAAAAGGGCGTGGCCTACTAGCACGATTTGTGACGTCACTAATATTTTGTTAGTCAAACCTGGTCCAGTATGCATATTTATACAAGTGTGGTGTAGAAACTTTGAGTCACTAGTGCACATACACTGAGAATGGATGTTATAGTGAAGTAGGAGACATCTTGTGTCCAGCAGGAAAACCTTTAGAACTAAGCAATATTTGCATATTAATAGATTGTATTTTTAATAGGTAGGAGTAGCCTTTTTTAGGATTTTTAATGTAGAAATTTCACCTTTTTGCAGGAAAAAAAATCTGAGTTGTTGTTGTTCCAGGCTTAATACATGTCTCGAGGGGTTTTGTATTTCCCCCAAAAAATCTCTTGTTTTTGAAGATCTGACAGATACAGCTGTCCAGGCAGCCCAGGTGACTGTAGGTGCCAGTGATGTGGCTCACAAGCTTCAGATGGCATCTGCGATCTCACAGCCTCCACAGCTGGATCCCCAGGGGTGACATGTTACTGTTTAATCTCTCACTCAACAGGATACCGTTCCTTTTACATCCCGCAGCGAATAGGAATGTCAGTGCCAGTAGTGTTCAATAAATTGTGTCCCGTGGCAGTTATCCTGTGTTCCTGCCGCTGATTGAGGCGCAGTATGAGATGCTGCCGGCCTGCTTTCTCCTGAAACTGCAGCCAGGAATACCGATGATGCCGTCTTTTGTAAACAAGCTCAGTCAAATTACAGGTTGGGCAGCTTTTCACCACAAATAATCTATGAAATGTGTTTGTTTTTTTCCACAAACAAATTATATTTGAGCTAATAGCACCACAAGCATCACCTTACTGTGCTCCCTCTGATATTTCATAGATGTGACCATACCAGATGTTGACCTGCAGTGGGCACCCTTACCCAAGCTTCTAATCAGACATTCACCAAGCACTAACAGCCTCAAGGAGAAATTAGATGAACAAGATCCTATTTTTACAGTGGTATGTATTTTTAACACTGTTTTAAGCTGAATACCAATGGCAATTGGGTTCATTTGAGACTAAATTGTTATGCCAGCCTTAGAATCAATACTTACCATAAACAGAATCAATACTTTCTGTCCAGCCTCTTCCTGGTGGTGTGATGCACAGTTATGTTCTCCCTGGAGCTGCATGGGAGGTGCCTGCTCAGAGAGGGGCCGTAGTGGACAGTATTCCCTTCACCCACCCTGCCCATGTCCCGGCCCTACTGGAGCTGCTCCGACATCAGTGTGCCATCAACACCCTGCTGAGGAGCTGCATCACGTCTCAGCGTGCCAGAACAGGCAAGAGAACATCACAATATGTTTAAATTCGACGAGACCATCCATGGAAAAGTGGAGAGATTGTCAGTCAGTTATGTGACGCTTTACTGATGGATTCTGCTGTCAGGTTCGGTTCGTGACCTGCACTTTGAAGTCCTTCCAGAGTCTGAGACTAGCTTTTCTGTGACCTTCCACCGACCTGACACTGACTCCCTCGCTGTTTGTGAGCATTTATTACACATTTTTATATTCAGGTG